TGGATCTGCTCACAGTGAAAATTCATTAAACTGTCAACTTCTGATTTTGATTATTTGGGGCATGTATATTGAATCATAAAATTTACAACAACAAAAAACAGAACAAGCAGAAACTGGGTGTGACGCTATGGTCAGGGGTGGAATGGAGATGAGTCTCTGTAGGGCTGGCCCCAGCCCAGGGTTCCTCTTCTGTGGGGGTTGACACACTCCCAGCCTTGGGGGTGGCATTTAAAGCAACAGGACTCTTCCCAGGCAAATGTGTGGAAGGTAAGGAGCACATTAATTAACAAGTCCCTTCCTTCTTTCTCTCTCTCCATCCTTCCTCCTTGTATTCATTTATTCTTTTTGTTTTTGTTTTTTGAGATTGGGTCTCACTGTCTTGCCCAGACTGGAGTACAATGGTGTTATGTCCGCTCACTGAAGCCTCAGCCTCCCGGGCTCAATTGATCCTGTCACCTCAGCCTCCCGAGTAGCTAGGATTACAGGCACATACCACTATTCCCTGCTAATCTATGTATTTTTTGTAGAGTTGGGGTTTCACCATGTCATCCAGGCTCGTCTTGAACTCTTGGGCTCAAGTGATCCTCCAGCCTCAGCCTCCCTAAGTGCTGGGATTACAGGCGTGAGGCACCATGCCCAGCCAATTCATTCATTCTTTTATTTACACTTTCAGAACTCGTTTATTGAGCACCACATCAGCCAAGCCCTAGGCACTCAAAGAGAAGTAACTCACAGCCCCTGCCCTCACGAAGCCCACGGTCTGGCGAGGGAAGCCGACCCAGATCAAATCAGTCCAACCTAGAGGGAAGGGGGTCCTGACAGGCATCCATCCTGGGAGCAACATGGTCAGATCAGGCTGGCTGGTGGACAGGGCAGGGCAGGGAAGTAGTCAGGGAAGGTTTCTCAGAAAAGGTGATGCAGGATCAGGGGCCTTAAGCAGGTGCTGACCAGGCAGGTTAAGGAGGTAACACCCAGCTGGCTCCCTCCCTTCATCTTATAACTATGTGGACATTATTCAGGAGGTGAGTATGAAGAATAGGGGGCAAGTCAAGAACCAAAGAGAAGGCACCTGAGGATGACCTCATGATTTTAGATGACATGGGCTACTATGTTCCAACTGCTAGCTGGAGAGGAATCCAAAACCATCCTGGTAGAGGAGGCTAAGGGGATTTCTCCAGGAGTCACCTTCTCTGAGTCTCGCTTATGAAATGCAAAGGTGGGCTGTACGTGGTGGTTCAAGCCTGTAATCCTAGCACTTTGGGAGGCCAAGGTGGGCGGACATGAGGTCAGGAGTTGGAGACCAGCCTGACCAACGTGGCGAAACCCCATCTCTACTAAAAATACAAAAATTAGCCAGGGGTAGTGGCAGGTGCCTGTAATCCCAGCAACTCAGGAGGCTGAGGCAGGAGAATTGCTTGAACCCGGGAGGCGGAGGTTGCAGTGAGCCGAGATTGTACCACTGCACACTAGCCTGTGAGACAGAGCAAGACGCCATCTCGAAAAAAAAAAAGAAGGAAAGAAAAAAGAAAAGAAAAGAAATGCAAATGCAGCCTGCTCAGGGGTCCAGCAAACAAAGCAAATATATGAATCTGACTGGTTGTGAGGCAGTAGGGAGTGGTGGGGTCTGCGGACCATGTGCTGTGGAAGGAAACAAGAGAAGGCAGACAGGCTGTCAGGAGGTATGAGGGTTTGAGTTCAATGGGGTGGGGTGGGGAGGGCCCCACTGAGTAGGTGACATTTGAGATAAAACCTAAAAAAATGAGGAAGTGAGTCTTAGCGACTTCTGAGAGATTCCAGATGGAGGGAACAGCAAAGGTGCTAAGGTGGAGTGAGCAGGGCATGGTTAGGAATGACAAGGAGGCCATCCCAGCACTGTGGGAGGCAGAGGCGGGAGGACTGCTTGAGGCCCGGAGTTCAAGACCAGCCTGGGCAACATAGCAAGACCCTCACCTCACAGTAACTGGCTTCTTTGGCTCTGTGCCAGCAGTTCCTGCGGCTCTTCCTGGGAATGCCCAGTAGGTGTCTCACGGCCTTCTGAGGGATGCTCCCCAGGACTCAACCACTCACAGCTAATGCTGATTTAAAAACAAAACCAAAATCCAGCTGGGCGTGGTGGCAGGTGCCTATGAGTCTAGTTATTCAGGAGCCTGAGGCAGGAGAATCACTTGAACCCAGGAGGTGGAGGTTGCAGTGAGCCAAGATCGCACCACTGCACTCCAGCCTGGGCGACAGAGCGAGACTCTATCTCAAAAAACTAAATAAGTAAATAAAAAATTAAAAAATAAAAGCAAAACCAATAACCAAAGCAACCAAATTAGCAGTGTCCAAAGCAGGTGTGAGGCCACCAGATTGTCCTGAAGCTACCACTGATCGACTGTGATGATGTTCCTGAAATCGTCCACTGCTTTCCACAGTGCTCCTGTGAACACTGAGGAGGCTCTACCCCAAATCCCTCTTTTCTCCTTGCCCTGTCCTTGAAATGCTCTTATGCTCTTCAACTCTCTTTCCTCAGGATGACTGCTTCCCAGGAAGCCCTGTAGCCCTCAAGCAAACAGACCCTCAGGAATCTTCCCCTACCGTCCGCCAGTGCTGCTCTGACAGGCCTAAGTACTAGAGGAAAATCAGCTGAGGCAGTAATAAGAGGTTTCCTTCCTTCCTTTCCCTCCCTCCCTCCCTCCCTCCCTTCCTTCCCCTCCCTTCTGTCCTCCCTCCCTCCCTCCCTTCCTCCCTTCCTTCCTTCTTCCTTCCCCTCCCTTTTGTCCTCCCTCCCTCCCTCCCTCCCTCCCTTCCTTTCTTCCTTCTTTCCACTCACTGGGTTCTTACTTGGTGCTAGACACTGTTTTAGGTGCTAAAGACATCGTAGTACACAAAGACAACCGCACACACACACACACGTATGCAGAGTAATGCATATGTTAATTAATTTGACTTAGCCATTCCAGTGACACACATAGTGTATACATATATCAAAGCATCATGTTGTATATTATATATAAAATTTTATTTGTCAATTAAAGAAGAAAAGACAACAACAGAGACTAGGTGCGGTGGCTTACACCTGTAATCCCAACACTTTGGGAGGCTGAGGTGGGTGGATGCCTTGAGACCAAGAGTTTGAGACCAGCCTGACATAGTCTGGTCAGGTTTCAACATGGTGAAACCCCGTCTCTACAAAAAATATAAAAATTAGCCAGCACTTGCCTGTAGTACCAGCTACTTAGGAGGCTGAGATGGGAGGATCTCTTGAGCCTGGGGAGGTCAAGGCTGCAGTGAGCCATGATCGCACCACTGCACTCCAGCCTGGGCGACAGAGTAAGACCCTGTCTAAACAAAACAAGACAAAAACCAGACAACAACAGAACTCCCCTTTCATGGAGCCCAAGTGCTGGTGGGCTGTTGCATGCTTACCGGACACCACTGCTGTAACTAACTTCCATGCATGAGCTCATTTAATCCTCACTATAAGGTATTGTACTACTGCGTCCATTTTACAGATGAGGAAGCCTGAGGCCCTGAGAATTTAGGCAACTAGCTTCCTAATGACAAGGACTACCATTCATTGAGTGCTTACACTACTGTCAGACACTGGGTGGAGCATTTTGCATTCATTATGTGGGCAGCATGGGGGGTGACAGGTCTGAGGAAGGACAGGTATCATTTCAGCTCTAGCTCACCGTGTGGCCTTGCATGACTTCTTCCATGTGTCTTAAAGGGACGCACTCTTAGGTGGCTCAGTCTTATGAAATATCTGAAATTTTCAGGCTAAGTGAGTTCCTCTGCCTCCCTGAAACCTGACAGGGAAGGCAGAGGAGACAGGGTCGGGTCCTGAGGACCAGCAGTGGGTGCTGGGGAGCCGGGGTGGATGCGAGGGTGAGGGGCACCTCCCGACACAGCCAGATCAGCCGGGGGCAGCGCCGCCGAATAACTGCAGGCTCTACGTGCTTCCCAGGTGGAGCCCAAGTGGCCCTGGGCTCCTCATGGTTCCAGGGCGACCACGTTTCAGGGCCCACAAGTGATGGAAATTGGGGGAATATTATCTGCAGACTTTGTGCTGAAAATACATACCATGGGGTGCGGGAAGATTAACACCTGCGGTCTGTGGGAAACCATGGGCCTGGGGCCGAGCGTCCTGAATTCCAGTCCCCCACTTCCCAGGGTGGGCTGTGCTGCCTTGGTCAAGGCTCGGGACTCAGTTTCCCTATCCGTGACCGTGAGAGTTCTGACTCCCAGCCAGGCCCTCAGCGGGACAGCAGGGCCGCGGCCGCTCTCTGTCCCTCCCCGTTCTCCGGCCCGGGCCGTGGTGGTGGCGGCCCGGGAGGCCCCAGCGGGCTCCGGCGCCCCCTGCCGGCCGAGAAGGGCCATGCCGCGCCTGCGCCCGCGCGCCTAGAGGCGCTGGGAGGAGACCTGGGAGGGCGCAGGCCGCCGCCCCGGCCGGGCCACGCTGGGGGCACGATGATGTCAGCAGGGGAAAGGAAATGAGTCATCACTCCCCGGGACTGTGGGGCGGTCAGGAGCGAGTGTGGAGACGCGGCCACAGGAACCCAGGACAATGGCGGGAAGTAAGAGGAATGTGGGCTTGGCTGCAGCCGCGCGCCCCTGACCCCTGACCCCACGGCGGGGAGGAGGCTGGGGCGCAGGGCGGGCCCCGAGGGGTCGGACGGCGGCCAGAACTCGGGCGGGGTCGGATTGGGACGGGGCGGCTGGAAGAGGATGGGGACGCAGCCAAGCCCAGGGTACCCGGCCTAAACAACAACCCGGGCCGTCTTTCTCACCAGGGATGTTTCCAAAACTTCAGCGGACCCCTCGGCAGTTCCTCCACTTCCCTTAAACTCTACGGAACCTTGGAATAATCCCGGGGGCTGATTAAAACCGGGATCCCCCGGCCCTACCCCGGAGATTCTGATTCAATAGGCCAAAACTGGGCCTCCATGAATTTGCATTTTTTAATTATTCTTTTTTATTGAGATGGGGTCTAACTATGTTGCCCAGGCTGGTCTCAAACTCCTAGACTCAAGCAATCCTCCCGCCTCAACCCCGCAAGGTGCTGGGATTACAGGCATGAGCCAGGATCCCAGCCAGAATTTGCATTTTTAACAAACTCCTAGTAGGGGGTGCTGGGCCAGGGTCCTCAGACCACTCTGAGTAGTGCCACCTTAGAACGAAGTCCAGCTACTTCGCGAGCCTAGGACCGTCCTCTGTCATGTGGTTCCTCCAGTCTCACCTGTCCCCACCTCCTACCCTTCATCAGTGTATTAGCAAGACCCAACTATCTGCATGTTGCGGTTCTCTCTGTGTGTTTGCACAGGCTATTTCCTTCGAGTGAAATGCCTTCTCTTCACTACACTGCTGCTCAAACTGTCTGACTTCTACCTGCCCTTTAAAATCTTGTCCATGGATGTGTCAAAGAGTATAATCAACAGAGTGAAAAAAGGAACCTATAGAATGGTAGAAAATATTTTCAAATCATAGATCTGATAAGGAATCGATATCCATAGTGTATAAAGAACTACAACTAGACCACAAAAAAATCAATCCTGATTCAAAAATGGGCAAGGACTTGAATAGACATTTCTCCAAAGAAAATAAACAAGTGGCCAATAAGCACTTGGGAAGATGTTCAACATCACTAATCATTAGGGAAATGCAAAACTACTGAGGCCCCCACCATCCTGACTCTCTCTCCTTCCTTCCTTTAGAGGATGTGGCCTTCCAGATCAACCTCAACCCTACTCAGGGAGCTGCTCAGCTTCCTCGAGGGCCTGGAGTAGATGGCTTCCATCTTCTCTTTTGCCACCTGTGGAGGTTTTTAAGAGCAAACAGAAATTCAAGTGAATTGTCCTCCTACAGTTACGAAACTATTACAGCTACTTCTGATTATCCATTCAGGTTAAATCAGGCATCATTTCAGTCACCTCCAGGTATTAATGTGTATGATATAAATTAGAAAGTCAAGTCCTCCTAGGAGATGACACTTCTGTACAATCCTATTACATTTGCCATCTCTGTCTTCCTGTACTGCGTTGCTGTACTGTTTTATGTTGGTTACAGGAACCTATATCAGGGTAGTCCTAAACTTCCCCTGATTGGCTTTGTCATTACTCTTGTTGCCATCTTTTGCGATTGGCGAGCACTTCAAAAGCTCGCTTGGGCAAAAGCTCTTGCAGATATTAAAATAACTACTGGTCAAAATATTGTTCAGGAACTTCTGCTTGTAAGAAATCATGATGATGTGTTATTTTGGCTCTGTGACCAGCATGGGATTCCTAAATGTATCTGTGATCTTTGTCTTTCTGAATATGATACTTTGGAGGGGAAATGCTTGGTGTGTGTACAAGTATGAGGAGGCCAACTTACACAATCCATGAAATACTTCTGCTCCTCATAGCCAAGGAGGTATTCCACCTCCTGCTGGAATGTAATTAAAGGGAGAAATACACTGTATTAAATATATATCTATATCATGACTCGTTGCCAACATCTTGAGGCACATTATTTGTTTCCAATAAAAGTAATGTGTGTGTGTTTTTTTTTTTTAAGCCACACAATGAGATATCACCTCACAGCCATCAGAATCGCTACTGTAAAACAAAAACAGAAAATAACAAGTGTGGACAAGAATGTGAAGAAATTGAAACCCTTGTGCAGTTGGAGGGAATGTAAAATGGTCCAGCCACTGTGGAAAACAGTGTCTTCATCTCTTTCCTGTTGCTATAACTGAACACCCGAGACTGGGTAAATTATAAAGAAAAGAATTTATTTCTTATAGTTCTGGAGGCTGGGAAGTCCTAGGTCAAGGGACTGCATCTGCTTGGCCTCTGGGGAAGGCCTCATGTCATAACATGGCAGAAGGCATCACGTGGGAAAGGGGTGCACTGAGAGCCAAACTGCCTTTAATAAACTCAGGCTGGGCACAGCGGCTCACGCCTGTAATCCCAGCACTTTGGGGGCGTCAAGGCTTGCAGATCGCTGAGGCCAGGAGTTCGAGACCATCCTGGCCAACGTGGTGAAACCTTGTCTCTACTAAAAATACAAAAATTAGCCAGGGGTGGTGGCAGGTGCCTGTAATCTCAGCTACTTGGGAGGCTGAGGAAGGAGGATCATTTGAACCCTGGAGGCAGAGACTGCAGTGAGCCAAGACTGTGCCACTGCACTCCAGCCTGGGTGACAGAGTGAGACTCTGTCTCAAATAATATAATATAATATAATATAATATAATACGGCACAAAGAATACTAAACAGACCTCTGTACTTGCCCACACAGGTTTAACAAATGTCAACATTTTGCCATATTTGCTTTCTATTTCTCTTTTTTGGAAAAAAACAAAACAAAAAAACCCCCCAAATCTAAAGCCCTCCCATTTTCCTTTGTATAGGTAACCAGTGTCCCAAGTTAGTGTAGATTCTCCTTGACCATATATATACACACATACATACGTACACATTTACTACAGAGGTATATACATATATAAAATATGGGGGCCCAGGAAGCGATCCTCCTGCCTCAGCCTCTGAAGTAGCTGAGATTACAGGTATAAGCTACCATGCCTGGCTAATTTTTGTATTTTTAGTAGAGATGGAGTTTCACCATGTTGGCCAGGCTAGTCTCGAATTCCTGGGCTCAAGTGATCCATGCACCTCAGCTTCCCAAAGTGTTGGGATTATATACACACATATAACACCTATATTAACAATATATGTACATATATACTATCATACTGTGTAAATCTCTTTGAAATTTGCTTTTTCACTCATTTTTGAGATTTACCCGTGTCAGTACATTGTAGATCTGATTCGTTAATTTAAAATGCTCTATAGTTTCCCATTGTTTGAATAAAACTGTTTATTTGTTCCCTTCCTAATGGACTGTTGGTTGTTTCCATTTTTGTTATTACACAGCACTGCAGTGAAAATTCTTGTATCGATGTGTGGGCGTTTTTTCCTTTTGAGACAGGGTATTGCTCTGTCACCCAGGCTGGAGTGCATTGGCACAATCACAGCTCACTGAAGCCTCAACATCCTAGGTTCAAGCAGTCCTCCCACCTCAGCCTCCCAAGTAGCTGAGACTACAGGCGCATGCCACCATACCCAGCTAAATTTTAAATTTTTTGTAGAGACAGGGGTCTTGCCATGTTGACCAGGAGGATGGTCTCAAACTCCTGGACTCAAGTGATCCACCCGCCTCAGCCTCCCAAAGTGCTGGGATTACAGGCGTGAGCCACCGAGCCCGGCCTGTTTTGCTAGGCATATGGTTGCTAGATCACAGTGCATGCACATCTTCGACTTTTAGTAGCTATCGCTAAATTCCCCAAAGTTGATCTGAAACCAGTGGGGCGTGTCAGCAATGCTCCTAGCGTGCACACACCAGGCCGGGCTGTGACAGCCCTCGGGCTGGGCCCCAACCCCACTTCGAGATCCGAGCCGGGACCGGGAGCAAGCAGAGGCCAAGCAATGGGAGTGGGCACCCCCACCTGCAAGGACAAGGCGAGCACCTTCCTGGTCCCCCAAAAGTGCAGAGAGGCCCGGGTCCACAGTCTGGACTTGGGCGGCTGCTGCCGCTCTCAGCTCCCGCCTGCTACGTGGAGCGTGATGCCCGGGCCGCACCCCTCGCGGCCTGGGGCAGGAGCTCCTGGTCCTCGCAGGGCCGGGGCCGGGTCTGGGTTTGGGGCAGGGGCGTCGTCTCCGCGAACCTACCCCCGTGGCCGCGGCACTCAGGAGTGGCCCGGAGTTCCCCTCGCCCGGTTCGCGGAACGGCCCGGGGCGGGGCGCCTCCGGGAGCGGATCGTGGGCCCGGGCCCAGCCTTCGGGAGTGTCAGGCCCGCGGTCACCCGGATGCGGGGCGGACCCCAGGGACGCGGCCCCGGGCGGCCCTGCGCAGAGTCTCCTCCGGAGGCGCAGGAACTCCGCACCCTTGGTAGGGCAGACGCCGCTCTCCCTTCCGGCGCTGGGCCCGGGAATGAGGCCCCAGCTTCGCCTCCTCCCAGCGGCCTCCCGGCAGCAGCAGCGGGAGAGAGCGGCGACGCGGGGCCAGGGTCCTCAGCCCGGGAGGCTCGGGCCTGGGGGCACGTCTCGCCAGGCCGCGCGAGGGTGGGAGCGGCGCAGTCGGTTGCCTCGGGGACGCGAGCAGTGTACCCACCGTCGCCACTGCTGCTCCGGCAGCCGCTCCTGCCACCGCCGCCCGCGCCCCAGCGCTGCGGACTGCCCGCCGCTGCCATGAGCATATTAAATTAATACGTTAATATTAACACTACAGGTAGCCTCAAATTGGTTCATATCAGGTTTTGTCACAAAGTAAGTTTAAACCAGAACGGGCTGGGTGGCTCACGCCTGTCATCCCGGCACTTTGGGAGGCCCAGGCGGCAGATCACCTGAGGTCGGGAGTTCGAGACCAGCCTGGCCAACATAGCAAAACCCCTTCTCTACTAAATATACAAAAATTAGCCAGGTGTGGTGGAGGTTGCCAGGAGACTGAGGCAAGAGAATCTCTTGAACCCGGGAGGTAGAGAATGCAGTGAGCCGAGATCTCGCCACTGCACTCCAGCTGGGCAACAGAGCGAGACTCGTCTCATAAATAAATAAATAAATAAATAAATAAATAAATAAGGGAGTTTAAACCAAATTTAGGGGAGCAAACTTAGTTTTCAGAGTTTTTCATTTTGGAATTGCAAATAAAGGATTTTAAGCTTCTACCAATTTATATTCCCACCAGCCACTTATGACTTCTCATTTCCCCATATCTTTGCCAATATGGTGTTATTAGGCTTTTTAATTTTTGCCAATCTGATGAGTGTGAAATGAAGTCTTTATTTTGATTTGAATTATCATAATTACTAGTGAGGTTGAGCATTTTTCATTTGTTTATGACAATTCTGGTTTCCTCTTCTGTGAATTTCCTGTTTCTCTTAAATTGTTCTTCTTTTATTGATGTATTCTGGACACAAACAAGTTGTAATGAATTGCCAATATCTTGCCTTTTCATATTTATGATTTCATCATAAAGAAGTTTAAAATTTCAAGGTAGTCAAATTCATCAACATTTTCCTTCATAAATTACGTCCTTCTTATCTTATTTAAGAAACCCACCCCTTTTCAAGTTCATGGTTGTATTTGCTTGCAGATTTTTTTTAAGTTTTAAAATTTGGCTTTTTATATTTAGTTTTAAAAAATATATCCGGAGTCTGTCTTTGTGTACAATGTGAGGAAGGAATCTAGTTTTATATTTTGCATCTGTTAGCCAGTTGTTCTGGTATCATGTACAAATTGGTGTCTTCTTTTCCCGCTGATGTGTAGTAAAACCGCCTCTGTCACAGTCCAAGTTCCCATCAATATGTGGCCCATCTCTGGGTCCTCTGTTCAGCCCCATGGTCTCTTTGTCTGTCTTGCTAATAATAATTCTTTATTATGGTAGGACAAGCCCCTCCCATCTTATTTCTCACTTTCTTCTTCAATAGTGTCCTAGCTAGTCTTGACCCTTTAGTCCTTTATTATATAAATTTTTTAAAAACTTGTCTATTTCCATAGAAAAACTAGTTGGAGTTTTTTTTTTTTTTTTTTTTTTTTTGGAGACAGAGTCTCCCTCTGTCGCCCAGGCTAGAGTGCAATAGCGTGATCTCAGCTCACTGCAACCTCCGCCTCCCAGGTTCAAGCGATTCTCCTGCCTCAGCCTCCCAAGTAACTGAGATTACAGGCATGTACCACCACGCCCAGCTAATTTTTGTATTTTTAGCAGAGATGAGGTTTTGCCATGTTGGCCCACCTGGCTGGTCTCAAACTCCTGACCTCAGGTGATCCGCCTGCCTCAGCCTCCCAAAGTGCTGCGATTACAGGCATGAGCCACCACGCCTGGCCAGGACTTTTTTTTTTAAAACAAACTCTCAGATCACAAAAAACTGGTTGGATTTTGATGAGTATTGTCTTTGCGTCACAATTTCCCTGTTAATAAGGAGGGATGAAAATACTTCTTTTATTTTTTGACACATAGTCTGGCCCTGTCGCCCAGGCTGGAACACAGTGGTGAAATAATGGCTCACTGCAGCCTCAACCTCCCGGGCTCAAGCAATCCTCCCACCTCAGCCTCCTGAGTAGCTGGGACCACAGGCATGCGCCACCATGCCTGGCTAATTTTTGTATTTTTTGTTGTGACAGTGTTTCGCCCAGGCTGACCTCAAACTCTTGAGCCCAAGCGATCCACCTACCTCAGCCTCCCACAGTGCTGGGATTATAAGCATGAGCCACCGTACCCGGCCTGAAAATACTTTTTCTTTTCCCTCAAAGGAGAGAGGGCAGTCACACCCCACTTATTCTGAGGTTACATTTCAGCAAACTCCAAACTCTGGAAAACAAGAGAAAATAAGAATAAGGTCAAAACAGCCTCTGATAAGCTCTAGACACCTCAGAGCCTATGTGCTAAATCACACCCACTTTTGTCACAAGTGGTCTTCTCAGGCCTCCCTCAGAACCTGTTTATGTTAGTCACTGTTCTAGGAAACTTGATGGTCTGATTTCCTAGCCTACAGCAGATTTAAGGCAGCTGCAACTTAGAAGAAACATGGAGGAAAACATGCTGATAACTAACATCTGACAGAGATAGAAAAGTCCAACTACTTATCAAAACCAGCTGCAGGAACATGAGAGGGCAGCAGAGCAGGGCTGCTCACTTCTGAAACCTTTGGAGGCCCCACTGCACATATGATGGACAGAAGGCAGCTCTGTTCCACACAGTCATTCAGGAGCCAGGAGTTAACCCCTCCTTGTGGGTTCCGGGGCTGCTCTGGCTGTGGACATTCTAGGCAGAGTGGGAAGGTACAGTGAAGAAGTTCAAGTCCAGCATTTCCTCTTAGGCAAGTGACGGGGAAGATGCACCCACCTACTGCAATTTCATCCCATTGCTGAGAGGTTGGCACTAGGCCCTACCCAGCTGCACAAGGACTGCGAGATGTAGTCTTTGCTGGGCATATAAGGCCTTCTAGAGCATCGTAGTGATATAGGAGTTAAGAAGAAATTTCTAGCCGGACATGGTGGCTCATGCCTGTAATCCTAACACTTTGGGAGGTCGAGGAGGGTGGATCATGAGGTCAAGAGATCGAGACCATCCTGGGCAACATGGTGAAACCCTGTCTCTACTAAAAGCACAAAAATAGCTGGGCATGGTGGCGCGTGCCTATAGTTCCAGCTACTTGGGAGGCTGAGGCAAGAGAATCGCTTGAACCCAGGAGGCGAAGGTTGCAGTGAGCCAAGATCGCACCACTGCACTCCAGCCTGGCAACAGAGCGAGACTCTGTCTCAAAAAATAAAATAAAATAAAATAGAATAAAAGTAAAAGAAATTTCTTAGGCAGAGAATGAGGGCAAGGATGTCCTCGGTAAGGTTTTCTTTTTAATCAAAAGCAGCCCCCAGATCATTTCTTTTACTAACAAAGAGCAGCCTGTAAAATCGAGCTGCAGACGTAGATAAGCAAGCTGGAAACTTGCACGGGTGAATGCTGGCAGCTGTGCCTACAGGAAAATGCTACCTGGGGGCCAAAATGTCATGTTCAACTTTTCTTCCCTTTTCTTTGTCAACCACATGTACAGTAAGGAACAGACAACATGGCGCCGGCCAGATAGAGACTCCAACTGCATAATAAAAGATTAGGGTGGAATGGCCAGCTTTTTCACGCACTATGCAAACGTCACACCTGGCCCAACCAATCGCTCAGGCCCTATGTAAATCAGACACCACCTTCTCAATTTTGTCTGTAAAACCCCGCGCACCCCCACCCCGTGCTTTTCACCACAAAACCGGAAGATCCACTCGGGAGCCTCTCTCTCTGCAGGAAAGAAAGCTATTCTCTTCTCTTTCTTTCGCCTGTTTAACCTCCACTCTTCAACTCACTTCTTGTGTGTCCGTGTCTTCAATTTCCCTGGCGTGAGACAAGAAACCTCGAGTATTTGCCCCAGATAGTGACGCCGCTTCAGCAGGACCTCAGCTTTGACTCTGAGTGACATGGGAGCCATCGGAGAGCTCTGAGTCCAGCCGTGACCTGATGTGATTTGTAAATGATCCCTCAGGTTGCTGTGTTGAGAAGGGGGAGAGGGTGCAGGTGGGGGCAGGGGCAAAAACAGGGACCCCCGTTGGGATAACCTGCTCTCTGAAGCCTTCCTGGCCCCTCCTCCCCTCAGGTGGAGCTGACCTCTTCCTCTGTTGTTCTCTAGGCTTCCACAACATTTCCCATAATTTAAACACTGACCGTTTACTTGTCTGTCTTCCTCCAGGTCAATATATCCACAACACCTGACCCAGAACAGGTGCTTGGCAAAGTATGTTTCCAGCATGTTCGATACAACTGAAATAACAGCTAGAACCCAGTATGCTTGTCAATGATCTTTTTTAAAAATGTATTTATTTTTTACAGACAGGGTCTTGTTTTGTTACCAGGCTGGTACAGTGGTGCCATCATAGCTCATTGTAACCTTGAACCCTCTTGAGGCTCAAGAGATCCTCCTGCCTCAGCCTCCCAAGTAACTAGGACTACAGACCATGCCACTATGCAGAGCAAATTTTAAAATCTTTTGTAGAGACAGGGTTTCGCTATGTTTCCCAAGCTGGTCTAGACCCCCTGGCATCAAGCAGCCCTCCCGCTGTGGCTTCCCAAAGTGCTGGGATTATGGGCATGTGCCACCGTGCCTGGCCAGGGATCCTTAACTGCAGGAAACAGAAACTAACTCTGGTTGTCTTTAAATAAAAAAGAAAACTTGGGAGATGCCCAAAACCCACAGGAAGTTTGGAGAACTAGGTCTGGACAAAGAACAGGAAGTAGCAGAGAGGTTCTTGGCAGTCAGGCTCTGTGCGGCTGTGGTGAACAAGTCAACTGCCTCTCCACCTTGTTTCAAAGTCCTGGGAAGGGCTCTGACTGGAAGGGCTGGGGTCAGGTGTCGACGCTTTGGTCTCACTGGGGCAGGGAGAGGAAGAACTGGGGCAGGGAAAACCTTCAGAGACCCCTTTGGTTTCCATGATGGGAGGGCAAGGCTCCCTGATTTTGTGTCTCACCAAGACTGTGCTGGCAGGAGGCAGGCAATGGGAAGCAAGAGCAGAGAGCTGTGAGGGGGCCCAGTGCCAGCAAATGTCCATGACAATTTCCCAGGGCTGGAAAAGCACAGAGGCACGAGCTGGGAACTGGGAACTGGGGACTGTATAGGAGATGAGTCTTCCTTGTCTTTGCCTCCCCAGGGCTTAGCACAGCACCTAGTACTCAGATGCTCACCTGATGCTTATCCCATGAGTGGATGGATGGAGGGATGAGCTACAAAAACCCAAGGGCTGTGAGTATTACTCCTTCCTTCCTTCCTTCCTTCCTTCCTTCCTTCCTAGCCAGAGTCTTTCTGTGTAACCCAGGCTGGAGTGCAGTAGCATGATCCTGGCTCACTGCAACCTCTGCCTCCTGGGCTCAAACAATCCTCCCACCTCAGCCTCCTGGGTAGCTGGGACTACAGGCACATACCACCATGCTCAGCTAATTTTTTTTTTTTTTTAATTTTTAGTAGAGGCAGGGTCTCACTGTATTGCCCAGGCTGAATATTTCTAGACAATTGATTTTATGAATCAAAAGGAGATGAGATGGCAGCAGCCTCAATGAAGAGATGATTGCAAAAAAGAAAAAAAGACTTACCTCAGGGGACAAATTGTAGCACTGTTTCCAAAGGCCCCATTCATCTAGCTCTGAGAAGGATTAACATTTATTTAAATAAATTGGCCCCATGCAGTTTGGGCTGATTATGTTGGACACACTGGAGGGATTGGGCAGCGGGAGGTGGGCCAGCCTCCAGATTCTCTCAGGAAGCCATGGATCTGGCCCTGACATCCCATCCAGGAGTGGGCTCCAGCAGTCTGGGGAAGAACCAAGCAGGACGTTTTGACTACACGTGCCAAGAAGCCAGCATCTTCCAAGGAAATCCGCTGGGCTAGGCACCAACGAGTGTCACAATCCATGCATAGTGAGTTGAGGGGTTGGCCTTAGAACCTGCCTGGAGGTCATACAGCCCAGAGGTTTCCAAATGTGCTCTTGGAGCCTGTGAAGTCACAGAAGTGTCACAGGTGCATCCAGAAGTGAAGATAAGGAGGCAACCCCTGAGCTCCTCATCCCAGTTGCCTTCGACCAGAGCAGCAACACACTTTCCGGTTTTTCAAGGGAGATTCTTTTGAATAAAGAGTTCTGTGGGCCAGGTGCACCTGTAATCCCAGTACGCTGGGGAGGCCAAGGTGGGAGGATCACTTGAGACCAGCCTGGGCAACACAGCAAGACCCCGTCTCGAAAGAAAGAAAGAGAGAGAGAGAGAGAGACAGAGGGAGGGAGGGAAGAAGGAAGGAGAGAAAAGAGTTCTGTGTACAAAAAAAAAAAAAAGTTTGGGATCTGCCTCAGTGTTTTCAGGAATATAGGTGGGAAGGACACAGAATTACTAGTTATGTGACCTTATTAAGCCTTGGTTTCCCCACCTGTAAAATGTGGATAACATCAGAGGATTGTAGGCTGGTGCAGTGGCTCATGCCTGTAATCCCAACACTTTGGGAGGCCGAGGCAGGCGGATCACCTGAGGTCGGGAGTTTGAGACCAGTCTGACCAACATGGAGAAACCCCATCTCTACTAAAAATATAAAATTAGTCGGGCGTGGTGGGTGGCGCGTGCCTGTAATCCCAGCTACTTGGGAGGCTGAGGCAGGAGAATAGCTTGAACCCGGGAGGCAGAGGTTGCGGTGAGCCAAGATCACCCCACTGCACTCCAGCCTGGGCAACAAGAGTGAAACTCTGTCTAAAAAAACAAAAACAAAAACACTCAGAGGATTGTGGTGAGATTAAATGGGATAATGTATGTGGCAGGATATTATTTTGAGACACTCATTGATGTTCGTTTTTCTTCCTGTATTTTCCCATTTCCTTTCCCGCATTCAAGCAGCATCGAGGGCAGGGGCAGAGTGAGTAGTACCCTAAAACTCTTTCTTAAAGGCCTGAACCCTTAGGGAACTGAGCTGTGTCTAGAAGCGAGAAAAAGTGAAGAGAAGATTCGTGCAAATGCTCAAGGCACCTTGGCCGGAAGTAGAGGGGAGACCAGACCCCACATTCCTCCAGAACCAGCAGGGTCTCCTGTCCCAGAAAGGAATGACAGATGGCAAGAGATCTGTGGCCCTGGAGCAGTTCTCGGGGAGGTAGTGAGATCCTCTAGGCTGACCACGTTGAAGTAACAAGAAAACATTGGCCCTGAAGGGGCTCTGGCAGTGCAGCAAGGACAGCGTCAGAGTGATGGACAGTTTTCTGAGGACCAAATCCTACCACGTGATGTTGCACAAAGACCTTGGAACTAGGACATAAATCCTGGAAGAAGTTACATATTTAGGCCAGGTGGGGTGGTAATCCTAGCGGCATCTGAGGCAGGTGGATTGTTTGGGCCTAGGAGTTTGAGACCAGCCTGAGCAAGATGGTGAAACCCCATCTCTACTAAAAATACAAAAATTAGCTGGGTACAGTGGCATGAACCTGTCGTCCCAGCTACTCGGGAGGCTGCGGCCGGAGAAATGCTTGAACCCTGCAGGTGGAGGTTGCAGTGAGCCGAGATGGAACCACTGCACTCCAGCCTGGGCGACAGAGTGAAATTCTGTCTCCAAAAAATAAAGAAAGAAAGAAGTTACATATTTTTCCCCACCAGCCTAATGGCAAAGGAACTCCGAATCAGAAATGGGGCACAGGTACAGAAAAACAAGAAAGTTGTTCTGCTTGCCCACTGGAGCTGTCCCGGCACTAAGTGAAGGCCTGCCATGTGTGTCTAAGGCCTGGAGCCAGCCCGGAGGCTGCACCTGCATCACTCAGCCCTCTCCCTGCTCGTCTCTGTGCCTCTTCAGTCCAATGCTTCCTCCTTCCCAGGCCCCATCTGTTCTGTAGTTTTCTCTTAACCTGGCTTCCTGGGAAGGGCTGCAGCCATGTTTGAGGAGCCCAGTAAAACACCCCCAAGGGCTGTTGCCTTCTTCCTCCGGGCTAACTGAATTCTTGCAGGGGCTGGGAAGAGGTGGGTGGGAGGACAGGGCAGGCTGATCTGGAGAGTCTGGCTTCCTGGGCCCCAGCCCAGCCCTCGGCAGAGCAATGTGACCTGATCCCACACTTGGCCAAGGCAGCTGCAGACATTTGCAAAGTGACAAAAGGAGAAGAGGGACCTAAGAAGAAAACAGCATTTGCACAGCACATGGAAGTGCCTGGAAATGTTTTCTGGACACATTATTCTTCTCTAGGGTGATTTTCAAGGCCAACCAAGCCTGGAGACTAAAGCTTCCAGAGGTGAGTCACTGGCCCAATGTGGCCACAGCGGCTTCCTCTCTGCAGTGTGTGTGTGAGTGAAACTGCCTTTGCAAAGACTGTAACATTGAGAAAATTATGGCAGTGAAAGAGATCTAATCTAACCCACCCCCATCTTGCATTTGCCTTAATCATTCCTGGGCTTAGGCTAAGCTAACTTTGGGAGACATTTAGATTATCGTTTATTTATTTGTTTGTTTGTTTATTTATTTAGAGGCAGGGTCTCTCTCTGTTGCCCAGGCTGGGGTCCAGTGGTGCAATCTCAGCTCACCGCAACCTCCGCCTCCCAGGTTCAAGTGATTCTCATGCCTCAGCCTCCCAAGTAGCTGAGACAGGTCCGTGCCACTACACTCAGCTAATTTTATTGCATTTTTAGTAGAGATGGGGTTTGCCCTGTTGCCCAGGCTAGTCTCGAATTCCTGGCCTCAAGTGACCCACCCACCTTGGCCTCCGAGTGTGATGGGATTACAGGCATGAACTACAGCACCCTGCCAAGGTTATAGTTTAAATTATACTAGGCCTTCCCCAAAAGTCAACTGCCTTTTAAAGCTGATGAAGGGCCATTAGACTAGGGGGAGAAGAGGAACCTGATTTCTGATAAGGCGTAGCCATTATTCCAGAGGGATCCTGCAGATAACATCACTATTGTAGACTGACCTTTTGAGATATCTTTTCAGATATTTTTGCGTGTCTGACACCCATGGCTCCACCTGGACCTGAAGGCTCCTGTGACCCCACCCAGGAGTGACTCAGTTCAAGACAACAGCTTTGACCCCCTCTGATTTCATCTCCACTCCAACCAATCAGCAGCAAGCACCCATTGCCTGGCCACCCCCACCCTTTACCCAAACTGCCTTTGAGCCTTGGAGGAGATTGGTTTGAGTGTGGCGTGGCTGGCTACAAGTCAATTAAATTCTTTCCTTACTGCTATGGCGTGTTCTTTATTTGTGCAGCAGGAAGGAAGAACCTATCAGTTACATAAGCATGTGTGTATATGAGTATATGTATGTATTGTGTGTGTGTGAATGTATGTGTGTATATAGGATGTGTTTGTCTATGTGTGTATAGGAATGTGTGTGTGTGTGTGTGTGTGTGTCTATTTCAGGACAGGGGCTCTCCCTAGATCTTTAGAGCCAGTAGGACATCATTTAGCAATCCCCCAAATCCAATCACTCCTTTTTAGAGATGTTAAAACCAAGGCCCAAGGGACACGACCTGCCTGAAATCGCACCTTTCTCCAGTGACAAAGGAGGAAGTGGCCTGGGAGTCAGAAATGGTCTCACCTGCACCCCAACTCTTGGCCCTTCTTGCTTGGTAGAGGTCATTCTCTCTTGACAGCACAGCCGCTTGATGAAAATAGAGCAGTTAGCATGTCCAGCACTAGCCCACTCTGAGCCAAGCCCTGTGCTTTCTTTGTACCTGACATAGGTTATGTCATTCAATGTACCCCTCACAGTGATCTCTCAAAATAGACATTTTGATGTACATTTCACAGAGGTGGAAACCAAAGCTGGCCGGGTAAATTTCATTTCCCACAGCCTGCTGACTTGTTCTATTTATGTAGTCATGATTGACATTTTTGAGGACATACTATGTGCCAGGCACTGTTCTAAGCACTTGGTACATGTTAGCTTCTTTTGTCCTCATCATAGCAGGTACTATGACCACCCTATGTTACAAATCAGGTCCCTAAGGCACAAAGTTTAAGTAATTGCTCAAGGTAAATCAGCAAGTAGAGGTAAGAAATCTAAAGGCAGTGAGGGAGGGGACCAGTGAGACCAGAAGGGAGGAAAGCCCTAGAAGTCTGAGTTAACCGCAGTGGGCAACTGGGGCTCACCCCCACCAGGGACGGCTGTGAGCCTGGGTCAAACACACTTCGAGGGTATTTAGCTGAGGGACTGTGAGTAGCCCCGTTTTTCTAAGAGACGGTTAATTATTTTTTCTCTCTTCTCTTTCTCCTGTTCCCCAGTTTCCCACTTCCTACTCATTCCTTTAGACATGCAAATACAACCTTTTACCTCACCTTTCAGCAGATGTTCTCTACAGGGCAAGTTCATTTAACTTTGTGCTCCAAGATGGATCTCTCCTAGAGAGTGACGTTGATTTGCAAACCAAAGCCTGCCCATCAGGGAACTCTTATCCTCCACCTGCTTGCCTCAGAACTTTCGCTCACCAAGAAGCTGCCTTGAGAGATAACAGCCAATTTCCGTAAGACTCCCTCCCACCTGGGGATTTCTCAGCCTAGTCCTGCTCACGAAGGCTCTAGCAGTCACCTGTTCAACTGCCCAGTAGCTAAGATACCAGAGCTAACGTGCAGACCCCCACTTGCTCACTTCTTCCCCTGCCTTTTAAAAGTGCCTGCTTTCTGCTCCAAAAGTAAAGCAGTATATTTAAAGGCGGGACACCTGTACTCCTTCCCCTAAGCTAGCTTTGGACTAATTTATACCAGGCATTTATTTATTTATTTATTTATTTATTTGAGACAGGGTCTGGCTTTGTCACCCAGGCTGGAGTGCAGTAGCAGGATCTCGGCTCACTGCAACCTCTGCCTCCTGGGTTCAAGTGGTCCTCCCACCTCAGCCTCCTAAGTAGCTAAGACCACAGGTGGGGTTGGGTTACCTGGCTAAGTTTTGCATTTTTCTGTAGAAACGGGTTTTCCCCATGTTGCCCAGGCAGGTCTCAAACTCCTGAGCTCAAGCGATCTGCCACCCTCAGCCTCCCAAAGTGCTGGGATTACAGGCATGAGCCACGGCCTCCAGCCTAGGTGACACAGTGAGACCCCATCTCAAAAAAAAAAAAAAAATGGACTCCGCAAACTAACCTGCCATTCGGTTACAGGACGAGGAAGTGCCTTGGAACTGCCCCTATGTGAACGAGTGCTGGTTATCCAGGAAATGTCATTAGGCAGAGATGTAGGAAGCCACCTTCCTAAAGGTGCTGTCTGCAGGTGACTTCAGGTGGCCGAGGAGATACAGGCAGGGCAGCATTTGCTACCATGTATTAGCCCTGACACTTGGTTCTCAACAAATGCTTATTTTCTTCCCTTCTCTCTACAGAACATTTTCTTTGGACCCAGATATTCCTGGAAATCAATAAAGCTGGTTTTATTATGTGTATGGCAAAAATGTCGTTTGCTTTTATACCACCATATGTTTTTCTTTTTTTTTTTTTTTGAGACAGGGCCTCACTCTGTCACCCAGGCTGGAGTACAGTGGCACAATCTAGGCTCACTGCAGCCTTGAACTGCTGGGCTCAAATGATCCTCCCACCTCTGCCTCCCGAGTAGCTGGGACTACAGACATGTGCCACCATACTTGGCTATTTTTTGTATTAAAAAAAAAACTGGAGGCCTGTCCTGGTGGCTCACACCTGTAATCCCAACACTTTGGGAGGCTGAGGCGGGCGGATCGCCTGAGGTCAGGAGTTCAAGACCAGCCTGGCCAACATGGTCAAACCCCATATCTACTAAAAATACAAAAATTAGCCGGGTGTGGTGGCGCATGCCTGTAATCCTGGCTACTTGGGAGGCTGAGGCAGGAGAATCGCCTGAACCTGGGAGGTGGAGGTTGCATGCAGTGAGCCGAGATTGCACCACTGCACTCCACACTCTAGCCTGGGCAATAGAGTAAGACTCCATTTAAAAAAAAAAATTAAAATAATTTTTAAAAACAAATAGATAGGATCTCACTATGTTGTCCAGGCTAGTCTTAAACTCCTGAGCTCAAGCAATTCACCTGCCTTGGCCTCCAAAGTGCTGGGATTAAAGGTGTGAGGCACCACGCCTGGCCCTGGCTAATTTTTGTATTTTTTGTAGAGACTAGGTTTTTGTCATGTTGCCGAGGCTGTTCTCAAACTCCTGGGCTCCGGCAGTCTGACCACCTCAGCCTCCCAAAGTTCTGGAATTACAGGCATTAGCCAGACATGTTCATATAAAAAAATCTCACAAATGAGAAAATCTGCTTTGTCAGGTTGCTACCTAATTATTACTTCCTCAACAAATGTTCATAGCAGCACTATTCACAACAGTCAAAGGGTGGAAGCAACCCAAATGTCCATCAGTGGATGAATGGATAAACCAATTGTGGTCTGTCCATACAATGGAACATTATTTGGCCTTGGAAAGGAATGAAATATTCATACTACCACATGGATGAACCTTGAAAACATTATGCTAAGTGAAAGAAACCAGGCACAGAAGGTCACATACTGTATGACTCCACCTATATGAAATATCCAGAATAGGCAAATCCACAGGAACAGAAAGTAGACTTGTGGTTGCCAGGCTGTAAGGAGAGAGGAATGCAGTGTGACTGTATAATGAGTGTGGCTCTCTTTTGGGGGTGATGGAAACGCTTTGGATCTAGATAGACGTGATGACTGCATATCATTATGAATATACTAAATGCCACTGAATTGTTCACTTTGTTATTTATTTATTTAGAGACAGAGCCTTGCTCTGTCACCCAGGCTGGAGTGCAGCGGCTCAATCTTGGCTCACTGCAACCTCCGCCTCCCGGGTTCTTTCTTTCTTTCTTTTTTTTTAAGGCAGGGTCTCGTTTTGCTACCCAGTCTAGAACACAGCGGCATAATCATAGTTCACTGAGCGTCAACCTCCTGGGCTCAAGTGATCCTCCTGCCTCAGCCTCCCCAGTAACTGGTACTACAGGCATGCACCACCATGCCCAGCTAGTTTTTGTATTTTTAGTAGAGACGGGGTTTTGCCATGTTGGACCGGCTGGTCTTGAACTCCTGACCTCAAGTGATCCTCCTGCCTCAGCCTCCCAAAGTGCTGGGATGACTCGTGAGCCACCATGCCCAGCCGACATAACATTTTTTATTTAACGAAACTTCTACTGTCGAACACTTAAGTTGGCTTGTTTGAAACAGTAGATAATATTGCAGTCCATATCCTTGTAAAAAATATTTGAGCATATGGCAGATGATTTTCTTAGAAAAGTGTCCCAAGGTGGACTTACCGCATGTCCTGATTAATCTCTGTGTCCCCAGATACTCTTTGCAGCCTCCCCTACCTTTCTCTGTGCCCTGGGAGACTGAGCCAGCCCTAAGCATTGAATCACTTACTTCCCCTGGCCACTTTGAATAAGGTTCAGCCATCAAGAGGCAACAGCAAGGGGGACAGGTGACAGGATGGGAGGGGGTATGTATTTGTCCTGCTCCCTCCCTGCTTTGCTGTGGTTCTGGCAGTGGCTGCAGCCCTAGGCCTGTAACTTGGGTGCGGCCGACCCTCCGAACGAACTGTCTGGGGTGCTAATGGAGTCCTGCTGTTGCACAAGCTTCAACTTCCCCTCTTGGTTCCCTTCACCCGGCCCATGTCTCTGTAAATAATAACTTCACTACAACATCTCTTCAAAATCCCAGCTGGGTAGGGAGATTAGAGGGTCTTTCTAGAACACCTGCTAATATGAACAAGTTCTCCTTTGCTGGCCATTTTTTTCAGTGTTCTTGGTTGTCCCAACTTGTCTATGACCTTTAGATTCACTATGTAAAATTCCCCAAAAATATCATATTGGAATTTTTATTATTAATACAATTGCACAAAACTGGCCATGTGCAGTGGCTCATACCTATAATCCCAGCACTTTGGGAGACCGAGGTGGGAGAATCGCTCGAGTACAAGAGTTTGAGACCAGGCTGGGCACAATGGCTCACGCCTTTAATCCTAGCACTTTGGGAGGCCGAGGTGGGCAGATTGGCTGAGCTCAGGAGTTTGAGACTAGCCTGGACAACATGGCAAAATTCCGTCTCTACTAAAAAACAAAAAATTAGTTGGGCATGGTGGTGCACACCTGTAATCCCAGCTACTCGGGAGGCTGAGGCATGAGAATTGCTTGAACTGGGGAGCTGGAGGTTGCAATGAGCCAAGATCACACCACTGCACTCCAGCCTGGGGGACAGAGTGAGACTCTTTC